AAAAAAAAAAAAAAAAAAAAAAAAAAGGAAAAATACCCAATCCAATCACCACATCTTCTTCCTCGCAATAACAGCATAGAAACATTTAAATCAGCATAATCTTTTCTACAACGGCCCACAGAACAAGCAGCTAGAACACAGTCGATCGCCATTTACATTTACACCAGCTAAATCCATGGCATTTCGAAACTTAAATCTAACTATCAAATCAGTAAATCGCACACAAGCAAGCAATTCAAATGACACACAAGGAAAAAAGGAACTACACTATCATCAAATGCAGATCTAACAACACACAATAACAGGGCACAAGAAAGACGAAGTGTACATTTCTGAATGTCGAGAAACTTGGTCGCGATCTTCAGAGCATCGGCGTATTTCTTCGCGACGGCGCCCGGCGGCCCGGGCACCGGGGCAGCGTCCGACGAGTCCGATTTGTGTATCTTCTGCCGCACAGTGTAGTAAATCGCAAATGCGATTGCAGCTAAAACTACCAGCACTATGAACCAACCACACCACCCTCTCGAACGCTTCTTTTCCTCCATTTACAAGCGGATTAGTGTTTATCCTTGAAGAAATTGTCTCTCAGATCTTGAGACTACTGAAACTGAAACCTAGCGAGCTTGCTTCGCAATGCTGTGCATTGCAAAAATGGAGACAGTGTAAAAAAAAATAAAAAATAAAAAAATATATGAAAAAAATATGCTTGAATTTGACTCAACGAATATTTGGATTTTCAGAGTGGTGTAAATAGAGAGTGAAGGGCGGAGAGGAAAACATGGCATGGGTTGAGATTTAGCGGAGAAAGCATGGCACCGACGGTCGTTAATGTTTAATGACGAAAATGCCCATATTTAGGTGGGATGATATTTTTCTCTCGGGTTAAGTTAGGGGCACTTGTTTACCAATTAATTTGGTCCAAAAAGTGAATTAATTGGATTTGAGTTAATTGAGGAAAAATTGCATTTTCATCAGTTTTGAGGGGACGAGCCGTGTGGGGTCTTATGTCGGTTGTGGTTTGGACATTGCTCAACACAAGTAGCTGCAACAAAATTGTTTTTTTTTTTTTTTTAAGTTATGAAAAACATAATTACATTAATGCCATTATGAATAAACAATAGTGGAAATCTTCTACTTGGAATCTCCGTCATTTTTTCTGGAGAAACAGACAACTCTCTCTAACACCTGTCTTTATTATTAGTCATTTTTACAAATCTCCAAAAAATCGTCTTCCACTACTAATAACTCTAGCCTCGTCCCGCGCTCGCCTCCTCGTCTCCACGCACCGTCACTCGTCGCTCGGACTCCGGCGTCGGCCTTCAACGCCCGATCTCCGCCTCTAACCTCTGCGTCCGGCCTCCGCTTCCAGCCTCCTACGCCGGCCTTCGATCTTAGCCTCGAAGGTATTTTGCTCCCAACTCCGGTCATGAAAGTTGCTGAAATTGAACTGTAAATATAATAGAATCTTTAACTGTATGATAAATTGCACTGAAATTGGTCATGAAAAAATAGATTTCAGTTTGTTCATGTTGTTACCCATAAAGAGAAAGAAGAGCAATAAATTGAACTGAAAAAATAGATTTCAGTTTGTTCATGTTGAAAAACAAAATTGAACTGACCCTACCCACAAAGAGAAAGAAGAGTAATTTTGCCCCGTTTAAAGTGCTGCAGAGCTGCAGAGGTGTTTTTTCTTGAAATTTTTTCGGCTACAGGGCCGCAGCCCTCGGAACATATTGTTAACCATTTAACACTATCCTTATAGATAACACGGTAAGACACCATGTCTGAGCACTTTCAGTGATTTTTCAAGTACATTGTGAATGCCGAGAAGCGAACATTGGTACGTTTGCGTATAATAATAATCATCGTGTTTATTTGTTGTGGTCAGATTTTTTGTAAAGTCACATAAATCGTATAATTGGTTGT